AAAGATTCAGCTTTCTATCTATAATAGAAAAAAAGTTACGACCTATCAAAGTTTTCCAAAAACATCATAAGGGGGGTACCTTCTTACTAAAATGATGAAATTTCAAAATTTTTTTTGTCGAGATTTTGTGTCCTATTGGTCCCTCGTGATACCTTGAACTCCATACACAAAATTATTCTCAGATTTGAAGCCGAAATCTATGAAAAAAGGCACTCGGAAAAATTGAAAAATTGATAAATCACCCCAAATTGCTTAATACGATTTTATCTCAGGAACTATAAATGCAAATGAGCTGAAATTTTGAGGGATTGTAGTCCTTTGAAAGGGATGAAATTCAGTGAAAGATTCAGCTTTCTATCTATAATAGAAAAAAAGTTACGACCTATCAAAGTTTTCCAAAAACATCATAAGGGGGGGGTACCTTCTTACTTAAATGATGAAATTTCAATTTTTTTTGTCGAGATTTTGTGTCCTACTGGTCCCTCGTGATACCCTGAACTCCATACACAAAATTATTCTCAGATTTGAAGCCGAAATCTATGAAAAAAGGCACTCGGAAAAATTGAAAAATTGATAAATCACCCCAAATTGCTTAACACGATTTTATCTCAGGAACTATAAATGCAAATGAGCTGAAATTTTCAGGGATTGTAGTCCTTTGAAAGGGATGAAATTCAGTGAAAGATTTAGCTTTCTATCTATAATAGGAAAAAAGTTACGACCTATCAAAGTTTTCCAAAAACATCATAAGGGGGGTACCTTCTTACTAAAATGATGAAATTTCAATTTTTTTTTGTCGAGATTTTGTGTCCTACTGGTCCCTCGTGATACCTTGAACTCCATACACAAAATTATTCTCAGATTTGAAGCCGAAATCTATGAAAAAAGGCACTCAGAAAAATTGAAAACTTGATAAATCACCCCAAATTGCTTGACACGATTTTATCTCAGGAAATATAAATGCAAATGAGCTGAAATTTTGAGGGATTGTAGTCCTTTGAAAGGGATGAAATTCAGTGAAAGATTCAGCTTTCTATCTATAATAGAAAAAAAGTTACGACCTATCAAAGTTTTCCAAAAACATCATAAGGGGGGGGTACCTTCTTACTTAAATGATGAAATTTCAATTTTTTTTGTCGAGATTTTGTGTCCTACTGGTCCCTCGTGATACCCTGAACTCCATACACAAAATTATTCTCAGATTTGAAGCCGAAATCTATGAAAAAAGGCACTCGGAAAAATTGAAAAATTGATAAATCACCCCAAATTGCTTAACACGATTTTATCTCAGGAACTATAAATGCAAATGAGCTGAAATTTTTGAGGGATTGTAGTCCTTTGAAAGGGATGAAATTCAGTGAAAGATTCAGCTTTCTATCTATAATAGAAAAAAAGTTACGACCTATCAAAGTTTTCCAAAAACATCATAAGGGGGGTACCTTCTTACTAAAATGATGAAATTTCAAATTTTTTTTTGTCGAGATTTTGTGTCCTATTGGTCCCTCGTGATACCTTGAACTCCATACACAAAATTATTCTCAGATTTGAAGCCGAAATCTATGAAAAAAGGCACTCAGAAAAATTGAAAACTTGATAAATCACCCCAAATTGCTTGACACGATTTTATCTCAGGAACTATAAATGCAAATGAGCTGAAATTTTGAGGGATTGTAGTCCTTTGAAAGGGATGAAATTCAGTGAAAGATTCAGCTTTCTATCTATAATAGAAAAAAAGTTACGACCTATCAAAGTTTTCCAAAAACATCATAAGGGGGGTACCTTCTTACTAAAATGATGAAATTTCAAAATTTTTTTTCTCGAGATTTTGTGTCCTATTGGTCCCTCGTGATACCTTGAACTCCATACACAAAATTATTCTCAGATTTGAAGCCGAAATCTATGAAAAAAGGCACTCAGAAAAATTGAAAACTTGATAAATCACCCCAAATTGCTTGACACGATTTTATCTCAGGAACTATAAATGCAAATGAGCTGAAATTTTGAGGGATTGTAGTCCTTTGAAAGGGATGAAATTCAGTGAAAGATTCAGCTTTCTATCTATAATAGAAAAAAAGTTACGACCTATCAAAGTTTTCCAAAAACATCATAAGGGGGGGGTACCTTCTTACTTAAATGATGAAATTTCAATTTTTTTTGTCGAGATTTTGTGTCCTACTGGTCCCTCGTGATACCCTGAACTCCATACACAAAATTATTCTCAGATTTGAAGCCGAAATCTATGAAAAAAGGCACTCGGAAAAATTGAAAAATTGATAAATCACCCCAAATTGCTTAACACGATTTTATCTCAGGAACTATAAATGCAAATGAGCTGAAATTTTCAGGGATTGTAGTCCTTTGAAAGGGATGAAATTCAGTGAAAGATTTAGCTTTCTATCTATAATAGGAAAAAAGTTACGACCTATCAAAGTTTTCCAAAAACATCATAAGGGGGGTACCTTCTTACTAAAATGATGAAATTTCAATTTTTTTTTGTCGAGATTTTGTGTCCTACTGGTCCCTCGTGATACCTTGAACTCCATACACAAAATTATTCTCAGATTTGAAGCCGAAATCTATGAAAAAAGGCACTCAGAAAAATTGAAAACTTGATAAATCACCCCAAATTGCTTGACACGATTTTATCTCAGGAAATATAAATGCAAATGAGCTGAAATTTTGAGGGATTGTAGTCCTTTGAAAGGGATGAAATTCAGTGAAAGATTCAGCTTTCTATCTATAATAGAAAAAAAGTTACGACCTATCAAAGTTTTCCAAAAACATCATAAGGGGGGGGTACCTTCTTACTTAAATGATGAAATTTCAATTTTTTTTGTCGAGATTTTGTGTCCTACTGGTCCCTCGTGATACCCTGAACTCCATACACAAAATTATTCTCAGATTTGAAGCCGAAATCTATGAAAAAAGGCACTCGGAAAAATTGAAAAATTGATAAATCACCCCAAATTGCTTAACACGATTTTATCTCAGGAACTATAAATGCAAATGAGCTGAAATTTTTGAGGGATTGTAGTCCTTTGAAAGGGATGAAATTCAGTGAAAGATTCAGCTTTCTATCTATAATAGAAAAAAAGTTACGACCTATCAAAGTTTTCCAAAAACATCATAAGGGGGGTACCTTCTTACTAAAATGATGAAATTTCAAAATTTTTTTTGTCGAGATTTTGTGTCCTATTGGTCCCTCGTGCTACCTTGAACTCCATACACAAAATTATTCTCAGATTTGAAGCCGAAATCTATGAAAAAAGGCACTCAGAAAAATTGAAAACTTGATAAATCACCCCAAATTGCTTGACACGATTTTATCTCAGGAACTATAAATGCAAATGAGCTGAAATTTTCAGGGATTGTAGTCCTTTGAAAAGGATGAAATTCAGTGAAAGATTCAGCTTTCTATCTATAATAGAAAAAAAGTTACGACCTATCAAAGTTTTCCAAAAACATCATAAGGGGGGGGTACCTTCTTACTAAAATGATGAAATTTCAATTTTTTTTTTTGTCGAGATTTTGTGTCCTACTGGTCCCTCGTGATACCCTGAACTCCATACACAAAATTATTCTCAGATTTGAAGCCGAAATCTATGAAAAAAGGCACTCGGAAAAATTGAAAAATTGATAAATCACCCCAAATTGCTTGACACGATTTTATCTCAGGAACTATAAATGCAAATGAGCTGAAATTTTGAGGGATTGTAGTCCTTTGAAAGGGATGAAATTCAGTGAAAGATTCAGCTTTCTATCTATAATAGAAAAAAAGTTACGACCTATCAAAGTTTTCCAAAAACATCATAAGGGGGGTACCTTCTTACTAAAATGATGAAATTTCAAAATTTTTTTTGTCGAGATTTTGTGTCCTATTGGTTCCTCGTGATACCCTGAACTCCATACACAAAATTATTCTCAGATTTGAAGCCGAAATCTATGAAAAAAGGCACTCAGAAAAATTGAAAACTTGATAAATCACCCCAAATTGCTTGACACGATTTTATCTCAGGAACTATAAATGCAAATGAGCTGAAATTTTGAGGGATTGTAGTCCTTTGAAAGGGATGAAATTCAGTGAAAGATTCAGCTTTCTATCTATAATAGAAAAAAAGTTACGACCTATCAAAGTTTTCCAAAAACATCATAAGGGGGGGGTACCTTCTTACTAAAATGATGAAATTTCAATTTTTTTTTTTGTCGAGATTTTGTGTCCTACTGGTCCCTCGTGATACCCTGAACTTCATACACAAAATTATTCTCAGATTTGAAGCCGAAATCTATGAAAAAAGGCACCCAGAAAAATTGAAAAATTGATAAATCACCTCAAATTGCTTCACACGATTTAATCTCAGGAACTATAAGTGCAAATGAGCTGAAACTTTCAGGGATTGTAGTCCCTTGGTTGGGATAAAATTCAATGAAAGTTTCAGCTTTCTATCTATAATAGAAAAAAGTTATGACCTTTCAAAGTTTTCCAGAATCTAAATCATAAGGTAGGTACCTTCTTACTAAAACGATGAAAATTCAAATTTTTTTTATCGAGATTTCATATTCTAATGGTCAATCAACATTCCCCAAACTCCATACACTAAATTGTTCTCAGATTTGAAGCCGAAATCTATGAAAAAAGGCATTCAGAAATATTGAAAAATTGATAAATCACCCCAAATTGCTTAATACGATTTTATCTCAGGAACTATAGATGCAAATGAGCTGAAGGGATTGTAGTCCCTTTATTGAGATAAATTTCAGTGAAAGTTTCAGCTTTCTATCTATAATAGAAAAAAAGTTATGCCCTTTCAAAGTTTTCCAAAATCTAAATCATAAGATTCTTACTAATGTTACGATTATTAACAAATACCCTGTTTTGAATGAGAAATTATTTGTCTCCTGGTACACACTTCCACCCAGTTTAGCATAAATCTACTTAAACCTAATGTCCTCCCTCAAACAAATAAACTATAAATTACCAATTTTCTTTTTTTCAATTTCAGGCCAAAACCAAAGTGAACCAGCCGGCAAATCCAGCATGGTGAATAGCGGCTCGTTCGATTCTGCGGACGGCAACCGTAATGGAAAGAGCCGTTGCGGCACGCATCAGCAAGTCGGCGGCGACGCCGCCCTCGGCTCTCAATCCTCCGACGCCGCCGACGACCCCAACAACAAAACTCCGACTCTCGAATCAGCTGACGGAGATTTGCCCGTATCCGCGATAGAGCCTACACCAACTAAAACGGAAATCAACGAATATGCGATTCCGTTAGAAGAAAAAGTCTTAGAAGAAAAACCGACAAGACAAGCGAGGAAACTGTTGTGTCTTTATTGCGATCGGACATTTGTCAGCGCTAATTTGAGACAGAAACATGTGGAACGGGTCCATTCTGTTAAACCCAACCGAAGAGTGAGTGCACGAAGGCAAAACCAACAATTATGTACGACTCCTTGTTCGCATTGTGATAAACTAAATACTGCTGAACACACTTTAAGCGATCTCTTTCAACATTTAGTCCAAGATCATCCAGCTAAATATTATGGATGCATTTCTTGCGAAGAAAGATTCCTCAACTCCTTCTACCTTTCCGAACACAACAGAAATAATCATTTTATGGAAATTAGTAATTTACCTGACCCATTGGAAACAAACGACAATGTTGAAGATACTTTAAAGGGTTCAATAACCCGAAGCAAATTGAGAAGCAAACCAGAAGAACCTTCACCAAATGAAGAAACTAATTTACCCAATAACAAAAAGAAAAAGAAATCCAAATTAAAAGACTTGAGAAACAAAAAAATCTCAATAAAAACCTCAAAAATAGCCATCAAAAGAAGCACAAGGCTACAACAACAAGCCAAGGAAATCGACTTGAACAAAAAACGAAAAGACAGAAAACTCACCAACAACACAAAACCCGAAACAATGACCAACAAATTAGCCGACAAATCCATAAACCCCTATCCAGAATTCGATAACTTTTACCGTGTAAAAAAAATCACCGACCATTCCATAGATAATCTAAAAATAAGCTCACTAACATTCGATGACGTTTTTGACAAGGCCTTTTTCAATCGCATCAAGTGCAATATCGAAGAAAACCTCCTACATCATATTGATGGTAAACTATTCAAAAACGAAGAATCAGAAAATAGAATTTCCAACTTTGAAAAAATCCCCACAGCCGCGCAAGAAATACAAAACCAAAACGCCGACAATTTCGGTTGCGAAATGTCCCTCAACGCCATCACTCCTGCGTCAGCTCTATCATTAAACTCTCAATTCGGTGAAGATTTCGAATCTCAAATAGAATACGGCTCTAAACCATCAAAGAAAAAACCGCAAATTAAAAGCGACGAAGTGCATTATAAATACTTCACTCGGAGAAAATATCAGGCAAGTATTTTACAACAAAAAGAAAATCGAGATCTTAGTAAGTTGGACATGTGGACACAAGTGCTCGTTAAAGAACGTCAAGAGAAGGTTTTAGACAAAAAGAAAAGTAGCAAAGAGCTTCAAGAATATACATCAGGCCAGGAATATAAAAGTAAAATAAAACGAGAAGAATTAAATAGGATTTTAGACAGGCGAGGCCCCTTTGAAGATCTCAAAGAGGAAGCAACTAAAAAAGCTGCCTTTGATAAACTAAACTCATCATCAGAAAATGATATTAGCCAAGAAGTCTTCACAGACGTAAGAGAGGTTCTCAACGACTTATTAAATCGCGTTTTTGAGGCTGTCAAGGAAGAAGACGAACCTTTAGAAGTATGTCTCAAGGAAATCGACAAAAGAGAAATCCCAGCCTTTTTGAATTTGCGTCGTAAAACTTCGCTAACTCAAGAAGAAATAGACAAATCGGATAAAATTGCCTTAATTTGTTCGTCGCAAGAGACTGAAAACTTCGAACTACCAACCAACGCTGTAAGAGGCAAAAACGAAACAATAGAACTAACAGGAGAATGGGCCAGGAGCCGCATGTACATCTGTGCCGCTTGCGGCGGCAAATTTTCCAACATGAAATATCTTTTGGACCACAAAAGTCTCTATCATCAAAATGTTTGGGTGCAACATTACGAGTTTGTGGGCAACCAAAGCGAATTGTACCGGCACTTGAGTATACCGAACTTAGGCAAAGTCGGTTTTGTTGAAGAAACGATTCCGTGCAAACAATTGTGGAAACGTAGCGAGGCTCGGTTGTGTACGAAGTGCGGGAAACGGTGCAATTCTTTGGGCGAGCTTCACAGGCATGTGCTGGAATGCGGCGGCGATTGGACCTGGATGTTGGCCAGGAAGAAATTGAAGTACAAACCTATGGGTGGGAAAACACGACGAAAACGAAAAGGTAGGTATTCCTATTCTATAGCTCTAAAATGTTTGTATTTTAACCGTGCTTTTCGTTTTTTAGTTTTTATTTTTATTATGTCCTAATAACGTTGGATTCAAGTGCAATAGATAATAATTCTTGTTTTGATAATTTATCAACACAAAATTCAAGGTCAAATGATGCTTTTTGGTTTTAGATTATATAAGGACAAATTTTAAATATTTTTTTTTGGTTTTTATCCTTTTTTATATGTATTGTATCTTATCAGTGGTTTTAAGTGCATTTTTCATTCTTGTCCAATAGTAGATATTTACATGGAGGTTTGTTTTCTATAAGCAACAAGCTTGAGAAAATGGTTCTAATTTTTTTGAGTATATTCAGGGTGTCCCCGTTCAACTGATCAAAAATGCTAGGGTATACAGGGTGTCCCACCGGGAACCAAATCGATCTATATATGAAAAACTGTATGCAGTAAATTTTTGAAAATTTGACAGTACTTATACCAACCAGCTAAAATATTTTCAAGATGGTGGCTCTTCCGGTTATACCGTAAGTAGACGTCAACTTGCTGATTTTAAATGAGATACCCTGTATGTGATTGCATATTTGGATTCTACATTAAATTCTGAGCAGATTTCATGTGATATACCCTATACCTGTTTTGGAAATTTTGACAGTTAAAAATTGACTTTTTGCCACTTTGACATGCTGTTAAACCTAAACGGTTAATTTAAGAGGAAAACCGATCTTATTTCCTATTTTAGATTTTCATAAACTATCATTTGACACTAACTTTGAATTTAACAGGAAAATAAATTTAACTGGAACTTACAATCATGGATTAAATTCAAAGTTGTTGTCAAATGATCATAAGCTACCTTCTTACTAAAACGATGAAATTTCCAGAAAAATTTGGTTGAGAGTTTGTGTCCTAATGGTCCTCTGGGATCCCCCGAACTTCTTACACTAAATTATTCCGAGATTTGGAGCCGAATTCTATGAAAAAAGGTACTCAGAAAAATTGAAAAACTGATATATCACCCAAAATTGCTTAACACGATTTTATTTCTGGAACTATAAATCCAAATCGGCTAAAACTTCCAGGGATTGTAGTCCTCTACTGGGATAAGAATCGCTGAAAATGTCAGCTTTCTATCTCTAAAAGAAAAAAAGTTATGACCTTTCAAAGTTTTCCAAAATCTAAATCATAAGGTACCTTCTTACTAAAACGATGAAGTTTCAATTCTTTTTTTATTGAGATTTTGTCTCCCAAACTCCATACACTAAATTATTCTAAAATTTAAAGCCGAGATCTATGAAAAAAGGCACTCGGAAAAATTGAAAAATTGATAAATCACGCCAAATTGCTTAACAGGATTTTTTCAGGGATTGTAGTCCTCTACCAGGATAAGAATCGCTAAAAATGTTAGCTTTCTATATCTAATAGAAAAAAAGTTATGACCTTTCAAAGTTTTCCAAAATCTAAATCACCTTCTTACTAAAACAATGAAATTTAATTTTTTTTTTATTGAGATTTTGTCTTCTAATGGTCATTTGGGATTCCCCAAACTCCATACACTAAATTATTCTAAGATTTGAAGCCGAAATTTATGAAAAAAGGCACTGAGAATCTGAGAAAAATTGATAAATCACCCCAAATTGCTTAACACGATTTTATCTCAGAAACTATAAGTCCACATGAGCTGAAATTTTCAGAAATTGTAGTCCTCTACTAGGATCAGAATCGCTGAGAATTTTAGCTTTCTATCTCTAATAGAAAAAAAGTTCCGACCTTTCAAAATTTCCCAAAATCTAAATCATAAGCAGCTACCTGCTTACTAAAACGATGAAATTATAAAAAAAAAAATCTTGAGATTTTGTGTTTTAGTGGTCCTTTGAGATATCCCAAACTACATACACTAAATTATTCTGAGATTTGGACTCAGATCCTATGAAAAAAGGCAAAGTTTATAAAAATCTGAGACAGGAATGTAAAATCGGTCTTCCTCTAAAAATAACCGTTTAGGTTTTACAGCCTGTCAAAGTTGCAAAAAGTCAATCTTCAACTGTCAATGTTCCCAAAACAGTTGAACTTAGGTATAGGCTATGTATATCACATGAAATCTGCTCAGAATTTTACGTAGAATCCAAAAATGCAATCACATACAGGGTGTCTTGTTAAAAATAAGCAAGTTGACGTCTGGTGGGACACTCTGTATAGAGGAACCATAGAGAAGTAGTTTGAGATAGGACACCGATGGTCGGAAGCGGAAGTGCGTCGTTTCCAAAATACAGGGTGTTGAAAACTTTTAGCAGAATTTATTGTCACTAAGCCATGATTTTTTTATGTTATTGCTGTGACAATCATATCTGGCTTTTTTACTATCATGGATATTGCAGTAGAAAAACAGGCTAATACTTAAAGGGATTGTGACCTTAAATAATGATTTAGGCTACTTAAATCAAGACAAAAAATCTAAGAAGTGAAAACCGCAGTCCTATATTCAAAATAGTCTCCGAGAAAACTCCTTGAGAAGATAAATTATGCAAGAACTCGAGCAAGAACTGGTAACTTCACAACCACCAAAATCGCATATTTTGTTCATTCAGTCGCCAGTGAACCGTATCCTATACTTTGAGTGGTTTCCGGCGTGACGTCACAAACATCTAGTTGTAACTTAAACCGCCCTTACTCGAAAACGACTCATCGTATGCGGTTTAAATATTTATTCTTAAATTTTTTTGCACTAAAACTTTAATCGAGACTTTAATTTTTGAGTCACACGCGCTTTAAAATTTAGGGCAATAAGTTTTAAGGTTTTTTCACCCGAAAGCGGTGCCTCAGAGAGCAAAAACTTGAGGGTCCTTTTTTGTTGAAATTAAATGATTATTTAAAAAAAAAAAAAAAAAATCGAAGAAACAGTGGCGTACAATTTTTTTTCAAAAAATTTAACACACATGTGCTGCAAGTTCGTCGCTGGACAAATCAAATCAACTGCAATTCCTTAAAAAGTTGCATCACCACCCATCATTTAAATCCTGGAAATTTCATTTAAACCGCTAAAAGCGTTTTTAATACAGAGGGAAAAATTTGATTTTTCTTGTAAAATTTCAACACCCTGTGTTTTGGAAACGACGCACTTCCGACCATCCGTATCCTATCTCAAACTACTTGTCTATGGTTCCTCTTTATACCCTAGCATTTTTGACCAGTTGAACAAGGACACCCTGTATCAATGTTCGAGGGTTATTCGGATCCAAGGCAATGTTATAGAGTGAAAACAACCCTAGGGCTGTTCTCAGTGTTTTCAGTCAATGAACTTCAGTAGCTGCATTTAAATTCAGTTTGAAGTCCGAGGGGGTTACAACTGGACCAAAATTTATACATGTATTGCGCATTAGATGCTTTTTTGAAGTAATTACGGTAATTCCAATGTGTAATGTTAAACATTGTTGTCTTTACATATTGGTAGAGTTTTCCAATGGTTAGAATTTTACGAGGGGTAGCTTACTCCCGAAATCACTGTACATTTTTATCCGAAATCGCGAACAGCGAAATCCTATCCAAAATCCCGGAATCCCAATCGAAATCCTTCTGAAATCCCAAAATCCGAATAAATTTATCGAAATTCTCGAAACCCTTAGTGGTATGGTGTTGAAAGTCGAATATCCGAAATCTTTCGAAATCCCTTGAAAATTGTCAAAATCTTATGCGATTTCCGAAATCGATTTACCTACAAATTCTAGTGAGTGAGCCGCACCTCGATAAAAATCTAAGTCAAAAAAGAATTTGAAGTTTTGCAGCTGCAAAACTATTGTAGTTGCATTAAAATCATTCAAAGGAAATTTGTAGATAATATAATTGGCTTCAAGTGAAGCTAATCACATTCAGATCGGATCAAAATTAACAAAGCTATGAGACAAAATGCTTGTTGGTGTCATTTTGGATAAAAATCTAAGTCAAAAAAGACTTTGAAGTTGCATTGAAAAATAATTCATAGGAGATTTGTAGAGAATTTAATTGGCATTAATTGAAGTTTAATTACGTATTGAAATTAACAAAGTTGTAAGTCAAAATGTGTTTTTCATTTTCATCCGAAATTCCTTGAAATTCTTTCGAAATCCTTTGGAAATCTCGAAATGCATTCGAAATCGCGAACATCGAAATCCTATCTGAAATCCTCATGAAATCCTAAAATCCTAACTGAAATCCTTTTGAAATCCCGGAATCCCAACCGAAATCCTTCTGAAATCGCGAAATCCCAATAAATTTTTCGAAATCCTCGAAATTCTTAGTGGTACGGCGTTGAAAGTCGAATATTCGGATGTTTCGAAATCCATTGAAAATTATCGAAATCTTATGCCATCTCCGAAATCGATGTACATTTTCATTTGAAATTCGTTAAAATTCTTTCGAAATCCTTTGGAAATCCCGAAATCTATTCGAAATCGCGAACAGCGAAATCCTATCTGAATTCCTTTTGAAATCCCGAAATCCGAACTGAAATCCTTCTGAAATTCCGGAATCCCAACCGAAATCCATCTGAAATCTCAACCGAAATCATTCTGGAAACCTGAAATCCCAATTTTATCGAAATCCTCTAAATCTTTAGTGGTACAACGTTGAAACTCCAATATCCGAAATCTTTCGAAATTCCTTGGAAATTGTCGAAATTTTATTTGATTTCCGAAATCGATGTACAGGGTGATCTATTATAAATGTCATTCCCTGCTAAATTTTTCATTTGAAGTTTTTGACAGAAGTGTCAAATACAAAAGTTTTAAGAAATTGTCAAAAGTTTTTAACGTAAGTCAGTTTTAGGCATACAGGGTGCGTCAAAAAAGTGCAGCAGTGTGAAGTTATATTTTTTTAAATGGAACATGCTGTATATTGTGCGCTTTTTTGTTAGTCCCCTTTAACCTGATTTCAACGATATATGGTTTGATATGTTTGTCTCTCGGTTTATCTCCAATAGTTATAAGGAAAAACGCGAAAACTCCTTCCTATAGGTCTCGCG